TTTCATTGCCTTTTCATTAAGGCCTGAGTAGCACCCAGCAAGGATGCGCCTACCGAGTCCTAGGATTCTCTCAGGGTGAGCAGAGGTGGTTGGAGCCGGTGCCCCTGCCCAGGGCTTGCCCCAGGCCAGCCTGTGGGTGCAGTTGCCCCCCTGCCTCTGTGTCAGACACTCCAGCGCCCTTGCTAGGAGGTGGGCTTGCTTGGGAGAGATGGTGAAGCTTGTTTCCTTCCTGCCCTTTGTTTCTAACAGCTGGAAGCTGAAGCCACTCACCGAGTCATCACCATTGCAAACAGGGTAAGTAGACCCACACCCCCTGCACCCCCTGCACCCGTCCCAAGTCCATTCTCGACTCTGGGGTCAGAAACCAGCCCGGACAGTGGAATGCTGTTCTGTCCTGGGGGCCAGCATCATGCCTGGCTCACAGGGCCCCAACACTGAATGGACATGGTTATTCCTACAGACCCTTGTTTTAAGTTATAAGTAGCCTTTTGCCGGTTGGTAGAAAATGTGAGGTTCAGCTCTTGAATCTTGCCCCATGTCCCCCTGTTGGGCTCTGGCTCAGGGTGCTGCCTGCCCCTCTCTGCTTCATGCATTTCCCCTGCAGCTTGCATCCTGGCTGCCAGGCCTGCATTCCCAGCGTCAGACCAGCACCCGAGGGTGGGGCCGAGCGATGCAGGGGGAGGGGCCAGGGCCAGGGTTTGATTTGGCCGGGGTGATGGGCGGGGGTGGGGGGTGCTGCTGGTGCTTGTTAGGTTTGTAGGGTTGATGCTGTCCTTCCACCGCGTTTCCATGTTTAGACTCACTGTCCGATCTACCTGGTCAACGTGTCCAGCATCTCGGCCGGTGATGTAATCGCAGCTGCTAAGATGCAAGGTGAGTCCTTGAGCTGGATGGACAGAGCACGTGTGGTAGGATTGGCGCCACAGGGGGCCCGCCAGGTCCATTCACTCCACAGCCCCAGCTCCCGAGGCCCGGCCTGCGCCTGCCCTTCCTCTTCTCCACCCGTCTTCCCCAGACGCACCCGCGCTAGCCTCGCTCAGTCCATTAGAATCGCAGTTCCTCTGCACATCTGTATGTGTAACAGCTCTACAGAGGTATCTGTCACCTCTCTGGGTCGGGCAACATTTTCAAGTTTTCAGTTGACTCATTAATTGGCATCTTTTTGACTTCTTGGATTTTATTAGTTGCCTTGGTAACCAACATGAAATCCTGGACCAGTTCCAATGGGCATTTCAGGGGATGCCTGGGATGTCCTTAGAGAAGTAACAGTGTGTGGGCCCAACTTCCCCTGTGGCCACCTGGAACCTGTGAATGAGCCCTGGGCACCTGTTGTGACTCCTGTTGCTGAGCAACTGGCAACACCTAAAGACTCTGTACTTGCTTATAGTGCCCGCCAGGCTCGGGGTGCCAGCGAGGTCCTGGAAACGGGGTATAAATCAGGAGCAAGGGCAAAAAAGTCTGGACTGCCCCCTAGTGTGGCATTCACAGCCCTTCATCCTCCCGTCAGCACCCTGTAGCACCCATGCTCCAGCCAACTTGTGCTCCTTGATGCGCCATCAGTGCTGCCCCCCCCGCCCGGTGACTTTGCCCTTCTGTTCCCCTTGCCCGCAGCCAGTTTGCAAGGGGAACAGCCAGCGTGGGGATCGGGAGCACTCTGGCCTTGAACCCAGCTGTGCTCTCAAATATCGAGTGAGCTTAGGCAAGTCCCTTCCTCTCTGACTTCACCTTCATCACCTGTCAAATGAGAGGCCCAGACGAATGATCGCTCAGGTTCCCTGGCTTCCTGGTTATGGCTTGACCCTTCTCCTTCTTCCAGGGAGGGTGGTGCTGGCCGAGACCACCACTGCGCATGCCACGCTGACAGGCCTGCACTACTACCACCAGGACTGGTCCCATGCTGCCGCCTACGTCACAGTGCCTCCCCTGAGGCTAGATACCAACACCTCCACCTACCTCATGAGCCTGCTGGCCAAGTAAGACCTGTTAGCCGGACCCTCGCAGCCCCATCTCAGGTCATTGACTCGGTGCCATTCCAGGAATCTGTAGGTCCTTGAGGTGATGGCGCGGTGGCCCCAGGTCTGACCTAGTTTGATTTCCTTGTGCTCAAAGGATGGTTTTGCTTTTGTGACCTTCTCCAGAGCTAAGTCGTCCATCTCCCTGTGGATCTGGCCGAGGGTATCAGGCATTTGGCAAGAGCTGTGACTGATGAGGTCCCAGGCCCCAGCGGAGAAAACCCTCTATGCATCCGGCCCGGAACGGCTGAGAGCCTTAAGCATATGCCTCCTCACAGGGAAATAACTTTTCTCTGCCCCCAGAATCCCCTTCTTAAGCGGGCATCTTAGAGGATCCACGTGCACAAAGCTGTGGTGTCTCCCACAAGTAAAATGAGGCTCTCGGGTCCCCAGTGTGTGGTCCCGGCAGGTGTCCCCTCTCCCACGTGACCCCCATGCTCCATTCAGGCCTCTCCCTGCCCACCTAGGATGTTTCCCCTGAGGTCGCCCTGGCCTGGGTGACACAGGCATTCTCTCTCCTCCGCCCTCACCATCTCTGAGGCCTGCAGAGACCTCTGAACAAGGGCCAGCTCTCTGCCTCCCTCAGGATGGCAGCTTGCCACCATATGTACTCTCTCGCTGTCGTCTCTGCCCCGAGTTCTCAGCTGGCTCAGGAGGAGATGGCCATGGATGGCAGTGACAGTGAACCAGTTGACTTGCCTGCCATTGCTGGCTTATTAAGACAAACTGATCTTCTGTCTTGTCCCTCCTTTCCCCTCTGAGCCATCAGAGCCCCCACATCCAGGGAAGGCTATGGCTCGAGTTCTTTGTGAGGCTGGATGTTGAACTTGTGTGCTGTTCCAAGCACATGCTTGTGGCCAGCAGGGACTGGTGGGGGTTGAGGAAGGAGATGAGAGGGGGTTTGCCTATGGTGCCACGGTAGTAAAACTGCCTCCACCCTCTACTTCAGCTAAACGCTTATGTGTAATTTTTCTCTTCCCACTATCTTAACTCTTAAAAGTCAGCACCCCAGAGACGCTCGATGTCTCCTGTGACCGTGATGGTCTGCCACACTCAGCACCTATTCCCATTCTGCAGATGAGTAAACTGAGGTTCTCACAGTTTCAGTAACTCGTCAGAGGTCAGACAGCTACTGAGTAGCAGAGCTGAGACTGAAAGCAGCTTTGCCTGGTTCTTAAGCAACACTTTTCCCTGCACCTGCCACCACCCTCTGGGACCCTGGCCTCCTTCCCTTTATTGGTCACGTCTTTCTCTCTGCCCAGTGATACTCTGAACATTGTGGCATCAGACCACCGGCCTTTCACCACAAAGCAGAAGGCTATGGGCAAGGAGGACTTCACCAAGATCCCGCATGGAGTGAGCGGCGTGCAGGACCGCATGAGCGTCATCTGGGAGAGAGGCGTGGTAGGTTCTTGGGGGGCCCTTCCCCACTCTGGTCTCAGTAGGAGTTTCACCCTGAGGAGGGCCGGATCAACCAAGGCTCCTGTTCCACTCAAAAACAAACCAAACAGATGTGTGTGTTTTTTTCCTGATCAGAAAGGTAGTAGCCTAGTATAGAAATTTGAAAAATACAGAAGAGTATTAGAAAAAAATTTCTCCCATAATTCTACACCGAGAAATTAAACTTAATATTTTAGCATGTTTCCTCCTAGTTCTATGGTATGCTATATATTATTTTAATAACTGGATTCATTCCTTGTTTTTCATAGAACATATCTTGAGTGTCTTCCTCTATCAGTAAAAGTTCTTTAAAAACATCTTTTTTCATGGCTAAATGTTTTCTCCAGTGGAAGTACCATACTTCAGCTCACCCTTTCTTGATGTTTGAAACTTCCGGCTGTTTCAGGTTCTTGCACTGAAAAATGGGGCTGCAGAGAACCCCTTGTTCATGAGTGTGTGTCCGCATTGCTAGTGATCCCCTAGAAGAGGATTTCTGGGCCAAGGATGTGAGCATGTTAAGGCTCTTGGTATATTTTGTTCAGTTACTTTTCCATAAAGAGAGGGACTGGGACTTGTTAGAAGACCACCTAACAGATCTGCCCGTGAAGAATGTGTGTTATTGGCCTTGCCCTATCACAGACTAGAATCAGTGATGGCGAACCTTTTGAGCTCGGCGTGTCAGCATTTTGAAAAACCCTAACTTAACTCTGGTGCCGTGTCACATATAGAAATTTTTTGATATTTGCAATCATAGTAAAACAAAGATTTATATCTTTGATATTTATTTTATATATTTAAATGCAATTTGACAAAGAAAAATCAACCAAAAAAATGAGTTCGCGTGTCACCTCTGACACGCGTGTCATAGGCTCGCCATCACGGGACTAGATGCAGGAGAGTCTGAGCCCCAGGAGGTCTGGGGTCCTCAAGACTAAGCGCCAGCTCAGGGAGGACCCAGGCAGTGGCTCGGGAATCTTCTTTGAAGAGAGTCCGCGGTGCTGTCCTGGGTGGGTAGGTGGGGTAAGAAGATGCTTTTCCGGAGCCCAGAACACATGACCCTCTGTGGATGAGGGAGGCTCCTGACTCGTCCCTGGTGGGCGCCCGAGCAGAGCTGGGTTTACAATCAGGGGGTAGATTTCCACCAGGGACGCAGCCGCTTGGAACAAGGGCCTGCTCACTGATGCCGGATGAAGGAGAGAGAAGTGAGCGAGTGCCTGGAACCCAGCCGAGCCGGTTGGTCGCCTGCAATGGTGCCCGTGGTGTTGTCCGCCTCAGCACCATTGTTCTGACCGACGCGAAGGCCACAGGCCAGAGCCAGGGGTGCCTGGGTGGGAGGCGCACCCAGGCCGGGTCCACTTGACATTCTACAACGTTCCAGGTCGGAGGAAAAATGGATGAGAACCGCTTTGTGGCCGTCACCAGCTCCAACGCGGCGAAGATCCTCAACCTGTATCCCCGCAAGGGCCGCATCATCCCAGGAGCCGACGCCGACGTGGTGGTGTGGGACCCGGAGGCCACAAAGTAAACCTGCTGCCGGTCTCCCGGGCGGGGGGCGGGGGGGGGCCTGGGGGTCTGGGGGCTTAAGGAGCTTGTGTTACAGAATTCCAAAAGCAGAGCCTCTCTGCACTCCTAGCACAGAGGAGTGTGACCTGAGGCATGTTCAACGTAATGACTGTTTGAGGGCCTCCCGTGGTCCGGCCCCGGGAGCACAGCAGTGACCAGCTCCGCCTGCACAGCGCTGGACAGTGTTTCCAAGCGGCTGCCCATCCATTATCTCATTTGATTTGACTCACAGCCCCGAGAAGCACTCACGCCTGGGGTTCTTATTTCCTTCCCATTGACCAGAGTGTAGAGGGAGCCCCACACCCTGTAGCTAGTACGTGGCTGACCGGACAGACGGCCTCGCCCTCCGTCCCAGGCTCCTCCATCCTCTGCGCCTCTCGCTGCGGGCGGTTCCTTGAGCGCACGGCACTGGCACCCGTGGCGTTAGTGAGCGCACTTTGAGTGAGTGAATGAAGTGTGCCAGGAGTGACCAGCAGGAGTAGGGCATCATTTTCACCTGAAGATTTGGGCAGATGGGAATCATGTTTTTAATATTACAATTCATTCAGTCATCAAATACAGGGGTGGCAAAAGTAGGTTAATAATAGTAAGTAATGCAATAATAAATAAATTAATAATAATAGAACTCTGTGTTCTATTATTGCCTACACTTGACCACCCCTGAATTTATTAAATGCTGTTGTTTGGCGGGCACTTTTCTAGGTGCACAGCCAGCAGTGGGCAGGGTAGACAGAAATGTGCGGGAAGTTGAAAATGAAAGAAAGCCCACACAGAGTCCCGACACTGTGCCCTCCGTCGGGGCCTCGAGAAGCCCTGTTCTGCATCCTGGCACCAGGGGCTGGTCCCTGTCCCTATGATGGGTCGGCTGTTGGTGGAAAGATACCTAGTGTTTAACCCCGTGTACGAGTGTGCGAGGGCTGCTTTAAAACATACCGCAGCTGGGGGCTCACACAGCAGAAATCTGTTTCCTCACAGTTCTGGGGGCTAGAAGGCAGACCGAGGTGTCGGCAGGGTGGATGCATCCTGCGGCCTCTCTCCTTGGCTTGCAGATGGCCGTCTTCTCCCTCCTCACGTGGGGTTTCCTCTGTGTGTCCTCCTGGTGTCTCAATTTTCTTTTCGTATAAGGACACCAGTCATGTTGGACTAGGGCCTACCCATATGACCTCATTTTAATTAGATGTTTAAAGGCCAAATACAGTTACATTCTGAGGTACTGGGTGTTAGGACTTCAACATATAAATTCGGGGAACACAATTCAGCCCATAACCACCAGCCTTTGGGGAAATCTTCCCATCACACTGAGCATCACCCCTTCTCTCTGACCATCACCCCTTCCCTCTGAGCATCACCCCTTCCCTCTGAGCATCACCCCTTCCCTCTGAATATCACCCCTTCCCTCTGACCATCACCCCTTCCCTCTGACCATCACCCCTTCCCTCTGAGCATCACCCCTTCCCTCTGAACATCACCCCTTCCCTCTGAATTCACCCCTTCCCTCTGAGCATCACCCCTTCCCTCTGAGCATCACCCCTTCCCTCTGAATATCACCCCTTCCCTCTGACCATCACCCCTTCCCTCTGACCATCACCCCTTCCCTCTGAGCACCATCCCTTCCCACTGAACATCACCCCTTCCCTCTGAATATCACCCCTTCCCTCTGACCATCACCCCTTCCCTCTGACCATTACCCCTTCCCTCTGAGCATCACCCCTTCCCTCTGAGCATCTTCCCTTCCCTCTGACCATCACCCCTTCCCTCTGACCATCACCCCTTCCCTCTGAGCACCACCCCTTCCCTCTGACCATTACCCCTTCCCTCTGACCATCACCCCTTCCCTCTGACGATCACCCCTTCCCTCTGAGCATCACCCCTTCCCTCTGAGCATCTTCCCTTCCCTCTGACCATCACCCCTTCCCTCTGACCATCACCCCTTCCCTCTGAGCACCTTCCATTCCCGTTGAGCTGTGGCATCTTTGCCTCTCCTCAGAGCTCCCTCTTCCACCACTTCTTCCCCACCAGGACCATCTCGGCCAGCACCCAGGTGCAGGGAGGAGACTTCAACCTGTACGAGAACATGCGCTGCCATGGCGTGCCACTGGTCACCATCAGCCGGGGGCGGGTCGTGTATGAGAACGGTGTCTTCATGTGCGCTGAGGGCACTGGCAAGTTCTGTCCCCTGAGGTCCTTCCCAGACACTGTCTACAAGAAGCTGGTCCAGAGAGAAAAGGTAAGATGCGGGATGGGGAAGAAGATGTGTGGGAAGAGGTTGAAGGCCCGTTAGGGGCATCTCATATGATGGTTTTAAATCTCAAAGGTGTTCTCACTCTATTTTCCCACCGAGTCCTATCGCCGGGAGTGGTCACTTTGGGAACAAGAACCGTAGGGAAGAAGCGCCTGTAGCGGAGTAGAATGTATTGGAAGGGCCCCCCATGGCCCTGGAGCTGAGGGAACACTATGAGCTGCTCGCGGCTGAGCCAACCGCTAGTCCTGGGAGGGTTCTTGCTGTCCTTCAGGGAAGGTTCCCTGTCTTGGCCTGGAGCTGCTCTTTCTTTTCTTTTCTTTCTTTTTTTAAAATATACTTATATTGATTTTAGAGAGGAAAGGAGAGGGAGAGATAGGAAACATCAATGATGAGAGAGAATCATTGATCCGTTGTCTCCTGCATGCCCCCTACTGGGGATCGAGCTGGCAACCCAGGCATGTGCTCTTGACCGGAATCGAACCCAGGACCCTTCAGTCCGCAGGCCAACGCTCTATCCACTGAGCCAAACCAGCTAAGGCCTGGAGCCTCTCTTTCTCAGACACCTCCGCTTCCCTTGTGATTGCAGTAGGCTGGGTGGGCTTTGCTGGGTCTGGGCCCCCCAACACTTAAGTGGTCGGGCCAGGTCTGGAGAAGTTCCTGGCCTCTTGGTAACTCGGCAAGTGAGGGGAATGCCATTGCTCCAGGGGAGGGGTGCTCTACAAGGTTAATTATCTCAAGTTTACCTGCTTCCTGGGAAAAGATCCCACCAATATTGAGGGCGAGCCAGTGGGCATCTCCTCTACACACACACACACACACGCATGTACACACACATGTGCATGGTGCACACACATGCACTATTTAGAAGGCACAAGAAAATAATTCTCCACCCCTTGTGCTCAAGGCAACGCAAGCCTTTGTGGCAGTCGTTTGGTTCCTAAGCAGAACGGCAGCATCTGGAGGCACGGCCACCATCGAGGAGGCTCTGGTGGTGGTGTCTGGGCTCTGATGGTGTCTTTTCCCTTCTCCTCCTCCTCCATTCACTAGACCTTGAAGGTTAAGGGAGTGGACCGCACTCCCTACCTGGGGGATGTAGCTGTCGTTGTGCATCCTGGGAAAAAAGAGATGGGAACGCCGCTCGCAGACACTCCTACCCGGCCCGTTACCCGACACGGGGGCATGAGGGACCTTCACGAATCCAGCTTCAGCCTCTCTGGTAAGAGCAAGGGCCACTGGGACTGGCACCTGCGTCTCCACCGCAGTGGGTGGTGGAAGGAGGCCGAGGGGCAGGTGGGATGTGTGCTGCTTTCCCCTCATCTTCCCTCCCTCCCCATGGCATGTCCAGTGATGAGCGCTGGGTCCACTGCCGCGTAAGTGGCAACCGTCAAAGGAGAGCAAGCAGAGGCGCGCGGTGCTGGTCCTGCAGGCAGCTTTGCCGACAGCACAGGGAAGAACCTTCCTGAACAGCCTTCAGGACTAGCCCCGTGCAGACCTAGCATCCGCTCTGCAGGTGCTGTGCTGGGCCCGGAACAGCGAGAGGAGCAAGATCCCTCCTCACAGAGCGTGGCTTTTGCTGGGTGGCGGGGGGGGGGGGATGAGACCTGTACACAGACCCCCCCTAATCTGAGAGGCAGAGGGCTAAACCAGAGGGACCTCTGTGCTCAGCTGTGTGCTGGAGGCAGCTCCAGACAGAAGTCACATGGTTCCTGTTTGAGGACTGGTAGCCTATGGGGAAGTGTCCTCTCCACCACTCCCCTTCCTCTCATTACCAAGGTAACTGCTCCCTAAGCCTGAGGGCCACTGCCACTCCCACCAGGGACAGGACACGTGTGCAAAGAGTCAGAAAGGGATCCGTGGGATGGAGTGTCCGTGGGCACCCAACCTTGCCAATCCAGGGGTGTGGATTCCCATGGCTGCCTGGGCATGGCCCCCAGAGCCATGGGCCCCACTGGCCTTTGGCGCCATCTGCTCCCACCCACACCTTGGGGCAGAGCCAACACTGGGCAGAACCCTCAGACTCAGCCAACACTGAGCAGCCTTCCACCTTCCCTCTGCCCCCAACCGAATCTGTTCTCATCAGACAGCCGAAGACTGTCCCACTGCCCCCTGAGGCACCGGGCCTCCTGTTCTAAGTCTTGGTATTTCAAAATGGGGAGGCCTTCAGGGTGTGGTTCTTTGTTTTTCCCTTTTTTCTCTCTCGCTCGTTAACCGGCCAATCCATAGTCCGAGCTCCCCGCAAGAGACCATATGTCCAGGCTTGGGAGCAGTGAAGGTGGCATAGCAGGGCAGTTAATCGTGGAGATTCTGAATGAGGAAGACCTGGTTCGAACCCAGGCTCTGCCACTTACACCCTGTGTAACAGAGAGCAAGTGACTGACTTCCCTGAGCCCGTGTCCATGTCTGTAAGATGGGATGGAGTTGTGAGGGTTCAGGTAGATCGTGCGCACGGAGGGCCGAACAGCTCCATCAGGAGAGGCGGCCGTGCTTTTATGGACCCGGACAAGAGCAGCCCAGCTCACCCTCTGCTTCCTTCCCTGCAGGTTCTCAGATCGATGACCATGTTCCAAAGCGAGCTTCTGCTCGGATCCTCGCTCCCCCCGGAGGCAGGTCCAGTGGCATTTGGTAAAGGCACCGCCCAGCCCCCCCACGTGAGGATGCACCGCTGCCACCAGCCCGCACACCCTCCCGCACAGCTGCAAGGGCAGGAGAGGCTGGGCGGGGCAGCTCACCACCTGAGGGGCCGCCGGACCCGGAGCCCTCCCCATGTCTGACACGTGACTCACTGTGCTTCGAGCCGACCCAGCAGGCCCTTTGAGATGTGTCCCTCCTGCTGCCGTCCTTTCCTGCCCTGGCCTGTGGGGCCCAGGAAGCCCACACTATGCACAGAGCCCACCGCATAGCCTGGCCAGCCCCTCCCCTCCCACCCCCGCGTGCTGGCTTCAGGAAAGCCCAGGCTCTGGTGCCCTGCCCCTGGCTGACCCGCCAGTCGTCCAGAGCACTTTAGCAGATGTGTTTAAAGGGACTCCCTCCCCCATCCCCTTAGGCCCCGTGGTCACCTTTCTCACGTTAGACAGGTGTTAGCTGCCCAGCTGTGCACAGAATGTCCCGTTCCTCCTGACTCCGCTCCGGCCCTGTGTGGATGCAGTTGGGACACCCTGGGTGTGGGTGTTGTTGGGACACTCTGTACCCTTAACCAGCTTCCTCTCCCCACCCCGCCCTCTGGGAGTCATGCCCAGAAGGGCTAGCTGGGCGGGGCGCAAGCCTGGTGCCAGGCGCGTGTACATGATTTCGTTTTGCACGTTTGGTTTGCGCAGTGGTTTGGTTTGACTTGTTCGTGCATCCTGTGAAAAATAACGGTGCTTTGTGTCATAGCATAGCATAGAAACAGGGGTAGATGTGGACCTTAGGAGATGCTGCACTCCACACCAACCAGACAGCCCAGGGCATGGGGGCGGGGGAGGGTGCTAGACTCACAGGCCCTCTTCCCCATGGAGTCCTCCAGGCTGCACAGGCCCCATCCCAGGCCCTGTTCCCATCGCCTCCCCGCCTGGTCTAGTTCCCTACATTCTGAGAGGATGTTCAGGATGCTGACCCTGGAGACCTTTGGGGAACAAGAAGGCCTTTCCCGTCTCTCAAACACCCAGCTTCCTGTAAACCGCCCTGCTGTACGAGGCCTGGCTGGCTCCTCCTGTGTGATTGGCAAGAGGCCTGATGTCTGCTAAGAGGGGGGGAGCAGGACTAGGGCGTGGCTAGCTAGGTGCAGGGAAGGAGGCCAGGCCAGCAGGACCTGACTGTAGAGCCCGCATTGCTGTGCTTAGTCCCCTGTGGACAGCACCGTGCCCTCACCTGCTGTGGCCTCCATCATCTCCCACATCCAGTGGGGCCCTCCCTGCCTCCAAAGCTCCAGGAGATTTCCATGGAAACCCCTGAGGCTGGTGATCTCCCAGCTGCCTGCCCTTGTGAAGCCTTGTCCTCCCCTCCGGGAAGTGATTTCATGTTGCACATTCAGTTGGAGCGCCCCGGGCTGCGCGAGGCTCCTGGACTCGGGCTAGCAGTCACACCCCGTACATCGTGCTGTTCATGTTTCCAAGCACTTCCATATCCGAGCTCTCAAATGCTTCTCACCACAGGGCATGTAGGACTCCATTTCAAAGATGAGGCCCAGAAAGTTGAGGCCTTCTGACCCCGGACGTGTCCATGACTGCCCTTAAGGGCTTGGCTGCCTCCCCCAGCTGTGGAAAGGAAGAGTGGGGTGAGGTTCCTTGTAGATCCCACGGAGTCTAACCCGTCAGAAGACTCGCTGGTAGGCATTTTGCTTTGTTTTGCACAGGTAGGTAGGTTTTTGTCCTAAACAAACTGATGCATCTTCCCCGGATGAGCCAGGACTCCTTACAGGTCGGGGTTTGGCCACGTGGTTTGAGCTGTCTCCACATCTACATTTGTCCCTTCGTGCTCATCTTCCTCACTCAGGGGCTGATAGGACAGAGACCGTAACCCAGGGAACAGAGGCAGCAAAGGCACTGGTGGAGGGAGGCAGCCATGGGCACAGGAGTAGGGAGGGCTCTGGGCCTGGGGGGCCATGGCACTGACCCCTTGGTACAGTGCGCATCGTCTTTATCTCTTCAGCCCTTGCTGGGTCACGGGCCTCGGGCAGATGCCAAAGAGCCCAGCAGGGGCGGCGGCCCATGGGCAGAGGATCCCTGCTCCGGCTAGGAAAGCTTTACCTTCTCTGAGTGCCTCCGCCTGAGCGGTGCATGGCCCGGGGCCCTGGGAGGCCACGTCTTCACGTGGTCCACCATAGGCCTTCTGCTTCGTCCACCCTGATCCTTACAGAGACCCCACCCTTGCCCAGGAGCTTCTAGATGGAAATCAGAAGGAGGTTCAAGGAACCAGATCAATGGTCAGCCCCCACCGCCCGCTCCTTGCCCCTGAGCAGGGCTCCAGCCGGCTCCATCACCAACCCCACTGGCTCCTGGTTGCACTGAATGCAGCTCTCAAACTGGTCTTGTACTTGCTGAATAAATACTGTTGTTCTTGCCTTAGCTGCTCTCTAGGTTTGTGGGGTTAAGTTGCAGAAAATTGTGCTACTGTGTGTGCGTGTGTGTGCGTGTGTAGTGCTAGGAGTCCACAGTAGGTCTCTGTCAAGCCAATGCCGTCATGAGGGCTTTTCCAATACCGACCCAGAAACCACAGAACCACACAGAAACCCAAATCCCCTCCAGCTGCCCAGGCGGCAGGCACAGCCCGGGGTTGGGATGGAGCCTCCGGCACCCCAGCACCCGGGTGACTGACTCCCCCATTCCTCTGTAAAAGTCATGGTGCTAAGATTGTGTCAACCCCAAGACAACACATGGTCCTGTGCTTCGACCACCCATTGGAGGCAGAAACAAGACAGCCCGACACATTGTGTTCTGGTGCAGGTTTGTATTAAACTGTAGCTACTTCTCACGTGGTCTCGGTTGTGTTTCTTCAGAGGAGAAGGGCCTTGGCAGGGGACCGCTCCTGCAGTGGCCGAGGCAAAGCTCCCGGGGCTGAGGAGGCGTTGGCTTTGCACTCGTGCTGGCAGGTGGCAGCTTCCTGGGGGGCCTGAGCAGAGTCTGCAGATGCAGAAAAGTTGAGATGGGAGCCGCAGTGACCCCGCAGCTGTCCGTTCTGACTCCTGGTGGGAACAAGACCAAGGTCCATGGCACCAGATTTCCCAGGACAAGGTTGCTGAGTTCTCTGAAACTAGGACAATCAGGGGGAAGCATCTATACTAATAATAGCCTAGGTGGTCGTCACGTCATCACAATCCCACAATCCATCACCAAGAGGCTGCGGGTGCACACGGGTGGGTGGGGACTTGATGCTGCGTGCACGTGCACAGCGCAGAGGCAGGGCCGGGCAGCTGCTCCATGTGCCCCGGCTCCGGCCTACCTCTTTGGGGCAATCCATTGAGGAGCCCTGGATGGGTGGGTGGGGCCTACCTCTTTGGGGCAATCGATTTGCGAGGTTCCCACACTGTGAGAGGGCACAGGCCAGGCTGGGGACACCCTCCCCCGAGTGCACAGATTTTGTGCACCAGGCCTCTAGTTAGATATAAAAGAGGGGGACGGGCTTTCCTACCTCCCCTTCGTCACCTGTTCTCTTGGCTACCATTTTGGAAACCCTCTTCACGCAGTGGAACCCTTAGCTGATGGGACTATGGCCCAATCACACGGCAAAAGGTTGCCCTGAGGCCAGTATGAGGACCTTCAGAACCTCACCCTTGGATTGGCCCACTGTCCCCGCAAACCCCATCGCCTGCATCAAGACTCCTCTGCCTTCTCTCCGGGTCTCAGCGGAGGAATGATCCGCTCAGTGTCCCACTACAGAGTGCGTGAAATTGTCGCCTCCAGTACTAGGGAGTCACGTGTACCTATTTCTGAGCCCCCAAAGACAAAACCCTAATGAGGGAATTGTAGGTCCTGTGGGGAAATGGTTGGCGGCCGGGGAACTTCCCCGGCGCTCACCAAATCAGCAACCCTCCTGCAAGTAAGTCAGCCTGGGACCAAAAGCAATGCCTGGCGCCCCGCAGCCAGGGCACAGCACTTGGTTATAAGGGAAGGAGCTGTGAGCACAGCTCCCGTGCGGTGTCTGAGCCAGGTGGAGACACCACGACATGGTTTGCAGGATGCTGAGTCCCTGGGATGGTACCGGGCCAACGTGTCTGTGTTACCCTCTTTTCCCATAATGTGGGGGCACACAAGAATTTTATTAACTGCCAAAAATCCATTGTGCTTGGATGAAAAATGACATGACCACACATTTGGCAGGTTTCAGGTGGTTTAAAGAGAAAAATAAAGGTACCCAGGAAGACACTTGTATCCATGTAGTCATGGAGAAATAAAAGACCACAGACAGTGAAATAAGGCTTGGCCAATTATAATAATCTGCATTTGGGAAAATCTGAACATTGGACAATGCAGAACAACTACTGTATCCTTTTATAGTATCTACTTGGGATACTATAAAGGAGGAAAGGCCTTTTAACATGAGGCAAGGGATTAAAAAATCACAAAGATCAATAAAAGCAGCCCAGCCTCAATGGCTCAGTGGTTGAGCGTTGACCTATGAACCAGGAGGTCACGGTTCCATTCCTGGTCAGGCACATGCCTGGGTTGTGGGCTCAATCCCAGTGTGGGGCGTGCAGGAGGCAGCCGATCAATGATTCTCTCTCATCATTGATGTTTCTATCTCTCTCCCTCTCCCTTCCTCTCTGAAATCAATATATATATATTTCCCATTCTGCATGTAAGGAGTTTGGAAGTCTCGAAGTCTAGCCTAACAACAAGCAAAAAACTGAACAGACTGAAAAATCAACAATGATCTTGGACCCATAAGAGAGGAGGGAGGACACAGGGTTAACACTGCCCCCGAGATTAGAGAGAGGCAGATAAAGCTGAGGGGGCACATCTGCTGATTTTAAAAGCTGCTACGAAGCAACAGTAATCAAGACAGTGCTATGTAGGACTGGCTTAAGGGTTGACATTCAGATCAATTGAATAGAATTGAAAATCCATTTTTAAAAAAATGAAGTGTCTATGGTCAACTTAATTTTTACCAAGATGCCAAGATGATTTAATGGGTAAAAAGAATGTTTTCAACAAATGCTGTTTGGACAACTAGATATCTCCATGCAAAAGAATGAAATTGGAACTTTACCTCATGCCATATATAAAAATTAACTCAAAATGGAGCAAAGACTTACCTGTGAGAGCTAACACTATAAAACTCTTAGGAAAAAAACATAGCGGTAAATCTTCATGACCTTGGATTTGGCAATGAATTCATAGATATAACAGAAAAAGCATGTGCAACAACAACAAAGTAGATCAATTTGACTTCATCAAAATTTAAAACATTTTGTGCTTCAAAGGACACTATCGAGAAAGTGAAGTGACAACCCACAAAATGGGGGGAAAATTTTGCAAATTATAGGTCTAATAAGGGATTTGTATCTGGAATATATAAACCACTCTTATGACTCAATAATAAAAAGATAAATAACTCCATTAAAAATGGGCAAAAGATCTGAATAGACTTTTCTCCAACGAAGATATACAAATAGCCAATGAGTCCATGAAAGAAGCTCAACAGCATTCGTCTGTAGGAAGCTACAAATCAGAACCACAATGAGATTTCACTTCGCACCCACAGGATAGTTACAATGGAAAAGACAGATAAGGACGAGTGTTAGCAAGGACGCGGAGAATCGAACCCCCAGGCACTGCCGGTGGGAATGTAAAATGGGGCAGCCACCTGCAAGGCCTGGGACCTGCAAGGAACAGCTGGAGACGCAGAGGATCTTGGGAAAGGGAAGCCCTGAGCAATGACGGCCTTTGGAGAGCGAGTGCCTTCAGGTCCCGGGTGGCCAGAACCGCAGCTGTAAACTGTGTCGTCCCCTGCCTCCTCTTCTACTGTCCCTTCCTTGTTTGGCTTTTCGTTGCTCCCCAGAATCCTGGGTCCCTGAGATGGCCCCTGACCAGAGTACTACCCATAAGAGCCTCCAGGTGGCGCTGTAGGCCCATCAGTGGCTACTTTCTTGGTTTAAAGATGCGAAGCTGATTAAATTAGGTGAACAGGTAAGGCCCAAGAAAGACAGATCTGTCTAGGTTACCATGGCTTCAACCCCAGCCCCCAGAGCAGCTCAGGGTCAGGTCAGCCTGGAGCGTGACTGAGGGGCTGTAGCAGCCTTTTTCCTTCCAGGAGAACCCCTGCGGAAGTTGTCCCTTAGGAGAGGCCAATCTCAGGGGTTAGGAGGTTAAGGTTGTCAAATTTAGCAAATAAAACTACAGGGTGCTCTATTAAACTTGAACTTCAGATAACAAATGATTTTTTTAGTATTTTTAGTGTCACTATGTCTTAAATAGTGTCTATGTCGTACTTATACTAAAAATTATTCGCTGATTATCTGAAATTTAACTCAGCATCTTATATTGATCTGGAAACTCTAGTTTAGTTTACTTGTATGAGTTTTCCACCTTCCATTTAATGTATGCTGCTGGGATATCTGCCAGGCCTGTGTTAGATGGCACAGAAATGAATCAAGTGCAGCTCCTGCATGTACAGATTTGGGGAAAAGAAACACTGACAAGTAATTATTGTACAGAAAGTATAGGAAGCCTGGGGTGATGGGAGAAGTTTAGAGTTTTGTGTTGGCTTTAGGTTCAAACCCTGCTTCTGATGTTCACTTGCTGTGTGATCTTATACAAGTGAGTTAACCTCTCGGGGTATCTGCTTTTTATTGTGAAAATGGACATGAGCCCTGCTGGTGTGGCTTAGCGGTTGAGTATCGACCTATGAACCAGGAGGTCCCAGTTCAATTCCTGGTCAGGGCAGGTGCCCAGGTTCCGGGCTCGATCCCCAATAGGGGCATGCAGGAGGCAGCTAATCAATTAGTCTTCTCATCATTGATGTTTCTCTCTCTCTCTCCCTCTCCCTTCCTCTCTGAAGTCAATAAAAACATTTTTTTAATGGAAATGATACCAACCTCAGGAGATGACCAGGGAGGTTATAGGAAATTATATGCATTTCAAGCCTGGCTGTCAGTAGGAGCCGAATAAATGCTAGTTTCCCCTTTATAAATGAGGAATACTGTGAGAGACAGGCAACTAAAAGTGTCACGGGAAGGTCTGTGCACAGAATATAACACCTCACTTTTAAAATAAAATGTACTAACTGATACTGTTCATTGAATGCCCACAGCATGAGAGTGTTACCCTAAGCACCTGATAAACACGACCCCATTTCATCCTTACATTAACCTCTGAAGTTTTTACTATTATTAAGAAACAGAGTTCAATAGCATGCCACAGCTAGTGGGTGACAAATGTAGGATTTCAACTCAAGTCCCTCACCCATGCTCCTAACCTCTGTCTGATGCTGCCTTTGCATGAATTGGCCTTGATGCTTGCGTTGGTGGCCACTAGGAAGAGAGGCACGATGGGTGCCCCCTGAGCAACAGGAAAACTGATAGGGATGCAAAAGCTGGAAGAGTCCTGGGACCTGAGGCCGCCTCTAACCATCCAAGTTAATCCAAGCCTTTCCCACCCACCTCATTGTCGTGGTGTGTGTTTCCCACAACAAGTAGGGTAATGTCTTGCCATCTAAGCCACTGGTCTAGAGTTGCTGTTCATTCTGGACACAGTAGGTTATAAATTTTCACAGGAGATTTGTCTTAAGACCTTTGCAATTCTAAAGTTGCATATTTGCTCCTATATAATGTAACAGGGTATAACTAAGAAGGGTCCTCTTGACCCGAATGAGAGTTTCTGTTATTACTGATATTTATTGGGTATTTGCTGTGTATCGTGCACTGCTAGGCATTTTTCATATATTATCTCATTTAACCATCACAGCACATGAGAAAAACCAAGGCCCAAGGTCACATAGCCAGGAAGTACTGGACCCAGTGCTAGGGTGGCTGCCGCAGGGCGGAGGGTTGGGTTCACGCTCTAGATAAGGACTCATCTGCTACAAGTTGTGTGATTAAAATTCATTCCTCGGCAAAATTACGTATTGCCTACACGAGTCCTTGAAAACTTTAAAACCATGTCAAGGGTTTCCTCTATGTAGGAATCAGTCCTATTTGAGTGCCCTGTTCCACTTTCAGCTGCTTTCAAATGAATAATGAACACTGTTGGTAGCAATTACCGGCATCACTGCTCCTCCCTGCCTCCACCTCACACCCAGGCAGGACCGCCCTGCCTGTTCCAATCTAAAATCAAACCCCCACCAGCCAGAGTTCACCCACTTTCTTATGCTCCCTCCACCACCTGGCTTCACCAGTGACCCTGGGGAAAGTGCAGAAAGGGCAGATTGTGTTTAACTTGCCTGGCTGTTCTTAGTCCCACGTGAGGTGCTGAGAATACAAAGGTAAATAAGATAGACTCTTTGAGTGTGAGGACCTCTAGTGGAGAGAGATGTGAACAACATGGTGACACAAGACGATGGGAGACCGTGGTAAGGAAAGGAAGATACCTGGTACCAAAGAGAAGGTGTCAACTCTATGAGGGAGGTCCGAGACGATGTCACAGAGGAGATGACACTAAAGCTGGTCTTGCAGGAGTAGGAGTTTGCTCGATGAAGGGAAAGGAGAGACTCCAAGCAGGGTGAACCCCATCACGCAGGCTCAGCGGCGAAACAGAACTGCTTGCTTGGCCAACTGCAAGTGTTTGCTCTTTGTGGCTGACATATGATGGCGAGAGGTAACGAGGGAGTAGAGAATAACATGAGATGGGAACCCTGGACATCTTCATTGTTTAAGGGCAGGTTTAGGGAGCAAGGGAGAACGAAAGAAAGAATGTCAAAAAGTCAGGAGCACCCTAACTGGTTTGGCTCAGTGGCTAGAGCGTCGGCCTGCGGACTCAAGGGTCCCAGGTTCGATTCCGGTCAAGGGCATGTACCTTGGTTGCGGGCACAACCCCAGTGGGGGGTGTGCAGGAGGCAGCTGATCAATGTCTCTCTCTCATTGATGTTTCTAACTCTCTATCCCTCTCCCTTCCTCTCTGTAAAAAAAAAATCAATAAAAAAAATTTTTTTTTTTAAATCAGGAGGACCCATGGCTCCCTGGTGAATGGCCAATTCCAGGGCTGGGGCAAGGAAGGGCCAAGATGAGCCTGCAACATCTTGTGCTAGGAAGCAAGGAAATGTTCCGAGAATGATGGAGACAAATCCAAAGGACACGGGAGTTTGACGTTTCTTCACCGGCCAAATCTGTGACAAATTGAGCCTCAAAACAAATCATCATAGAGAAGGATTATAACCAACTGGGGGAGAAAATCCATGTCAACACTGAAATAAATGAACGGCCGCGAGTCCAAGCTCTGAACTAGGACCTGGCAGCAATGTGTGCCTGGCTGGATTTTAGAATCGCTGCAAAACAGTAACGGCTGTGTGTGCCTTCTGTTTGTCTCCTTTCTGAAATGACGGCGTCTGGAGCAGTTGTCCTCTGTCTGTGCCACTAGTGTATGCTAGGTGCGTGTGGGGTGAATGCTGTGTCTCTCTACTCCACAGGTTTTCACATCAGGAGGACTGGTACTCAAGGAGTTATATCCAAGGAACTGGACCTGAGGAGCCCTATCCACCCTGGGACCTGAGTTAGATGTGAGATCCTGGACTTCAAGGTGGTGCTATGATGGGATGACTTGGGGGCCTTGAGGGGAGGGGTGAGTGTATGTTGCATTGAGTGGGGTGTGAATTAGTGTCGTCAGAGGGTAGCGTGTGGCAGATCATATTTTCCAAAGAGAATGTCAACAATATCTCCCGGCCACATGCTCTTATTATGTGACTTGGACATTCCTCCCATTGAAAGGTAGCGTCTATGTTCCCTCCCCTTGATATTGGGTAGACTTTTGCAATTTTTCTCAACCAATAGTATCTGGCAGACGTGATGTCAAGAGGGCTGGGTTAGAGATGATAGAATGGTGAGGTGCGAATGGTGAGGCAGGATTCATGGAGGAGGTCAGTACCCAATGAGGAAATTTACTTAGTAGAAACAGTTGGGAGACTAGGTAGAGGGGAGGATTCAGGAAATTAATTTGAGTCTCAAATTAGATGACTAGAGTTTTGGCATTAAGATGGAGGGCTAAGGGAGTGAGTTGTAATAGTAGTAGTAGTATTTAAAAGATTAAATACAGGTAAAGATCATAAAGAAAATGTTTATTGAGACTCTGGGGTAGTTAGGTCAGAGAAAGTGAGGAAGAATGGGAAATTTTTTTTTCTTTTTTACCTTTTAATCCCCTTCACCCACTTCTTTGGGGCCAAAGAAAATCTTTGAAGAATCTTTGAAGAAAATCTTTGTCCTCACTTGATTCAATTACATAAACACTTATTGGGGAACTCCACAATACGTTCCATTCTGTGCCTAGATGCTGAAGGGGCTGATAAGGCAGAATTCCTGCCCACAAGGAGCACAGAGTCTGATTGGGGAGACAGACATGTAAACCAAGGACAATACTATAGAATGTGGGTACAGAGGTAACCTCAAGACATCCCTGGAAGTTAGGGCTGAGGATGGGAGAGCCAGAAGTCATCTGCACAAAGAACCAGAAAGGGGGTGAACAGAGTGGAGCCCTGGGCAGGGCACTGCAGGACAATACTATCAGTATGCATGGACAGGAAGAGGAGGGCTCTAGAACTGGAGAGATCCATAAGAGCAGACTTGGAAAAGGGGATTCGGGAACACCAATGAACATATCAAGGAGGGAGCTAGTTATGAGGAGGTAGAAGCTGAACCAGCTAGTGGGCAAGATGGAAAAGCAAGAATTGTTTACAAATGCATTGGGTTAATAAAAGTTCAAGTAATATGTTGTGTACAGATGATTTTCTTAGCTCGATTTAGGAGTAAAGGTATAGACTTTCTGGTAGGACATGATAAGGCATGTTTAATGCAGGTAGAGGAAAATCGAATTTGGGGTTTGGAGTAAGAGGCTGTGATAGAAAGCCATAAACCAAGAGTGGAGATTAAAAACCTCGTTTTCGCTCTCGCGTTGTTGAAAGAGAAGAAAAACTCTCCACTTTTTGCTGTGCAGTAGCTGTGAGACACGTAAGAAACCGTCATCTGGCTGCTATGGAATCAGGTGTAAATGGTTGTTCCTTCTGTGATTAGACACACTGCGTGGAGGAATTGTTACCCTGTTGCTAAGGGAAAAGGAAGGGGCTGTTTCCGGTTGCTATGGTGACGAGGTGAGAGCGTTCCCTCGGTACCGCGGTAAATTTACGAGGCTGGGTCGTCTCCTTGTTGCTATGGCAATCTAGAGGGACTGTTCTCGCCGCCCCCCACCTCGCGCCGCCGCCGCCGCCGTTGCTAAGACAAGGTGGAAGCAGGGGCTGTCCTTCTCGCACCACCCGGTTGCCTAGGAGACGGCGGGTGCCCCGGCCCCGCCCCGCCCGGAGTGACAGCGTTGGCCGCATCGCGCCTGCGCAGTGCTCTCTTCCCCCCGCAGTCTCTGTGCGTTGACGCCGGAGACCTCGGCGGCCTCTGCTAGGACCCTCCGCCCGGGAGCCGCCGGCCGGAGCCGCAGCCTCTCCGCAGCGCCCCCGCCGCCGTTCCCTCCCCCGCCGCCTCCTCCGGAGCCGCCTCGCGCACTGTGAGTCCCGGCCGAGGCAACGGACGCCGTGGGGCTGAGTCAGCGGGAGGCCCGGGCCCGGGCTGGGGGAGGGGAACCGGGCCGCCCCCCTCGCCTCTCCACCCGCACCCCCGCACCCCAACCGCGTCCACCCTCCGCCCGCCTCCCTCCCTCCCTCCCTCCGTGCTGCTCGCCCGGGCTCCCTGCGGCCACAGCGGTCAGGCCTCGGCGAGCCACTCCCCCTCCCCTCCCTCCAGACCCACCTGGGGGTCCTTGCCCACTGGATGCGGCGCTACCGCACTGACTCCCCCCGAAAACTGCCTTCCGGCCGCGCGCGTTCCTTCTCCTCACTCCCCCCGGGCCTGACACCGCCGGCCTGTCTGGTTGCCCCAGGGCTGTGCCAGAGAGAGTGACCAGGAGAGCGCGAGGGGCACTTGGGGGAGGAGGGGCAGTTTGCCTGCCCGAACCGTGGGGCCTCCGGTTTCCTACCCACACGCTCCTGCCCTGGCCGGTGTGGGAAGCGGGGCGGACAGTTCTGAGTGGCTGCTGGGCGCTCGTGGGGCTTTCGGAGTAGATGTTGCGGAGAAGGGTTCTGCCCCTTCGCCGTCAGCTTCTGGGTTCTGCCCCTTCGCCGTCAGCTTCTGTGGAGTGAACACCCGCTGGTGCACGGTGGCCTCCGAGGATGGCCTTCGCGGGTGCAGAGGGACTAGCGGGAGTGGGGGGGGGGGATTTCGAGTGGGAGCTGAAGTTCCTGCGGGTCCGATGTGTTGTTGTCAATAAGCATCTCGCAGGACTCTTTAAAAGCCCCCCCCACCCTATTTTATTTTTATTTTTATTTTTTTTGTAGTACAATCCTGGCATATTGTGAGGTTTGGAAACAGGCCTGGTATCATCCATAGCAAGTGCTTACTGTGTGTATGTTGAGGGGTTGTGACAGACTTGATCTTGTAATGCCTGTGAATTCCATGTGGTAACCAGTTGGGCAATAGTTTTAACATAATGTGCAGATTAGAGAGGAACTGAGGTTTCTCCATGGTGTAGGTCTGAAGCCTGTACCCCTTGGCCTCCTGCAGCTGTGCGTCTTTATGGGGGCTGTCACCTGATAGGGGTTCTAGCATTTTGGACCATTCCCTGGGCTGTGTTTGCTACCCATCCACCTGCCCATCTTGCATTCCCTGATCTGGGGATAGAGGAAGATTCCAAACTGTTTTGCCTTTTCCAGCTGAAGTCTGAGTTGTTGCCCACAGCTAGAAATTGTTTCTTAACAAACGTGCCTCAACTCGAGGGCTCCTAACTACTGAGTGTGCACTTCATTGCCAAGTTCCTTTGATTCTTCTTTTTTTTTTTTTTCTGGCTTCTAGATTTCAGTGTACTTAATATATATAAATATCAGCCAGTTAAACTATACCTGAGGCTTTGTGAGCCTTTTTACTCCAGGCTGCAAAAAAAAGTAGATGGTTCACTCCTAAAACTCATGCTGAAGGACCCACTCATGTGGACTTTCTGGAATTGCAAATAGTGACAGATGATTTTGCTCTTTGACTTTGCTCAATCATGGCCTATTGGCAGCCTCTTCAGGGCCACTCCCCACCCCCATGCCCATCAGATTAGTTTACAGAAGCAAAGACGGCTGTCGCCCTACTTTTAAACATGGAGATGGAGTTCGGGAAAACTACAGCCCCCATGCAGCAGCGCAGTTTCTTCTGTTTCAAATGCCAGTCGGGGGTTTGGCGGGATGCACCTGCCTGTGGGGCGATGGGAACTGTGGGGCCTGAGAGTCACATTCCTTCTGTGTGGTCCTCTCTGTGTCACATAGTTCACGGAAATACCCGGGCAGGGCAGGAGCAGACAGCTGTGCTGGAGAGCTGCTCCTCCTGGGCTGAGTGTATTTTGGGAATCAGCAATATTACTGGGGTGGAGGGTTGTGAATTAAGAAGCAAGAAAATGTGCCAAGGCTAGATAGATCAGGAGGGTGTGAGTAAAATGTTCCCTTTCCAATTTGCTGTGGGATAGTACATTTTCAGAGCATCACAGGAGTTTTTATATGGGTTATATTTGCCTTTGAAATCCATACCAGTGTTTTATGAGATAATGTTGGATTGCCTTTTAAACTGCTACTGTTGGGAAACAGGACTAATAACTTGTCTCTTACACATTGCCAATCCAGTTGTTACTGAATGTAATTGTTAAGATCAGGGAGAGGGACATTATTTGAACCAAGCTAAACCTAAATCTGTGTAAATCTGTTGTGGTTTTGTAGCACTATATTTCCTTAATTCTAAGAGATAACAAGAACTTACCAGCACCTTTTAGGTAAAACAATTTAACACTACCAGATCAAAATACACAGAATGTATGCGCACATTTTGAATAATTATAAAGGCAGTGTTTATTAAAATACGTTTCATTTTCAAAACTGAGCTATCAACTGTTAAAGTGTGTATACATTTTTTGGGACACTCTGTACATGTTGTTCTAAGGTGCATCCTAATTTCAGGAACATGAAAACAGCCAGTAAATGACAAGACTTTAGGGAGGGATTTGTGTGTCTCAGGACTAAGCAAGAATGATATTTGTAATATTCCTGGGTGTGTGATGATGCCATCACTTGGTTAGCATCCTGAGAGTGCATGCATTGTGAGGAGGGATTTCCTCAAACCCTTCCCCCAAGCCATGTATCTGAGATGATTGGCTGGACTTAGGCATGGTAGTTGGCTACTGAACACAGGAAAGTTCCTATGTGGGAGACAACCCAAGGCCGTCATATAGTACCCTCCAGAAGCTTAGTGAGCCCCCTGGAAGCAGATGTCTTACGAGTTATACCTGAATTTAGCCAAATAACAGCTCTCAGAAGCTGAACAGAGAATATGATTTTCGTAAACCGGAATGCCTCTGCCCCGATTTGTTTACAGATCCTGAGACGCATGCGCTCCTCCTCAGGATGTTAGAAGTGGAGGAGACTTCAAATGGTATAGTTCAGTGTCCTCATGTCCAGACTTTGACACAAGACACCAAAAGTTAAGTGACTTGCCCAAGGCCACCCACTAATGTAGCGAGCATGTGAAAACGCTGTAGACTGTGTATGCCATGCACATAAACATTGGTGGCTGTTAGTGGCTGAGTCAGGATTAGAACCCAGATTTCCAGACTAGATCTATTCTGCAATACCATGTTGCTTCATCCCTCATGTTTAGTATTCCAGAGGGCTTTAATAAAAATAATTTAGTCATCTGTAATTAGCCCTGTAGACAAGGGCTTGTTTTATTGTCTGAGATGTTGCAAAGCCAGGCGAAATGCAGTGTTGCACTGTCTAATTATATATTTATTATTGCCACCTTACAGATAATAATTTTTCCTTACACATTTCAACCTCAGGAAGGTCAGTCCTTTTTAAATTTGCATCATCTAACATAAAGCAAACGTGAAGGTGGGTGAAGTCTTCTCAATTCCTCTGTGAGCTGCTGAGGCGGAGACGGCTGAACGGGCGGAGAGGAGGAGGAAGCTGGATTCTCTTCCAGCTCCAGAAGGTAGCCCTCTGGAGTCCTGGAAGCCATAGGGACTTCTGGTCCCACCTTGGGAAAGTGAGGCAGTCTGGCCTCTAGAAGACAGACCTGAGTTCAGATCCCAGTCCTCCACCTCTTGGCTGTGTGGCCTCGGGCGACTTGTGGGGCCCCTGAGTGCTGAGTCCCTCCCCTGCAATCCTGGAAATAACTGGTTTACATGGTGGTTGTGAGGATCAAATGAAAGAAAGTTTACACAGTGCCTGCTTAATAAGAGACAGCGACCTTTACTTTTTATTACTAAAGTGTAAAATAAAAAAATAATGCTTTCAAACATTTATTGTGACTTCAGTCCATCTTGGACCTTCAGTTCAGCAGCAGCCCTCATCTCCTGGCAGCCCTCTCGTGTGTCTGACATGCACAGAGAGATTGTTTGTCGTGTGAAGACCTGGCACTCGCAGTGTTATTTCGACTGCCAAAATACGAGTATATGAAATGCCCCTTTGTCTCCATGTATTCAGCTGACCTGGTTATCTGAAAGGCTGGCAGGGCGGGAGGAGAGCACAGACTTGGTGTGTTTGTGTGTGTTGTGGGGGCGCTTGGTCCTCCCGCTGGGGAGGCCGGTCTGGGAAGTGATCTTAATTTGAAATGGAAATGCTGCTGAACTCTTGCTTGTGAATAAAGCTCACATGGCCTGCACTTACTTCCTCCACTGTCAGAGACGTCGCTTTAATCTGTGACTTTGCTCAGATGGGCTTCTGCGTCCAGGAGATCTGCAGGGCCAGGGAAAGGAGCGATCCATCTTCGGTAAAGGGAGGTCATTTTGGATGGCAGCAGTTCCAGATGGGCTCGAGGCAGACTACCAAGTAATTAAGGAGCCAGGGCCATTCAGTTAGGAAAACACAAATGAATTTAAATTTCTGTCAATTTCAAGAGGCAAGAAAATACCCATCCAAAGACTGAAAAAAGTAAACACAGTAGTGTTTACCTCTGGGAAGTGGGATTTGGTTGTGGAAGAGGGAAAAAGAGACTCGAAGGGGAACTTTTGCTTTATATATGCTTCTATGTACGAATTGTTACAAGAATCGTGTGCTTTTGCAATTTAATGAAGATCAATAGAATTGGCAGTGGCTGGTTTTCGGTAAATGCATTTTGGCACAAAAAGAAGCCTTCAATGCATGGGGCTTTTAGGGTTAGACTGCTGCCTTTGAGCAGGCTACGCCCCTTTGCATCGAACCAGGTTCTTAAGTGGGGGCAGGACCCTCCAGCGTGGCTGCTTCCCTGGCAGCCCAGCATACTTCATTGACCTCCTACCTCAGCACCTCTTCTTAGTCTCATTTCCTTCTTGAGAATAGTCCCTTCCTTCTCTTGACCAGTTGAAGTAATCATTACTATTCTAATAAGCTAATTTAATTTTCAACTATTAATGAAATGGCATCAGACCATATGAGAGAGGGAAAGAGAGAAATATCAATGTGAGAGAAACACATTGATTGGTTGCCTCCTGCACATGCCCTGACCTGGGCTCTTGCCTGAGGAGGATCCTGCAACCAAGATACATGCCCTTGACCGGAATCGAACCCGGGACCCTTCAGTTTGCAGGCCGACGCTCTAACCACTGAGCAAAACCGGCTGAGCATACAGTCTTTATGAAAAATCCAAACCTCTTACTTCGCATCAAGAGGGCTTGAAGTTCAAAGGAACCCGAGCTGAAATGCTGACAGACTCTGTTACCATGGCTGTGTTTTAGATCCAAACTGGCTGATAGAGCACACCTTTCAAATAGGTTTATTTAAATGCTTCTCTTAAGAATTAGTGATAAACTATGACAACTTTTTAAAGTATTATTGAGCTTTTAATCATCTCATATGTTGTTGTGTTTCCTAGCCAGACGTCCTGTTTATTATAGAAAGATGACACACCTATCATTTGGACATGTGCTCACATACCCAGGAATTAAGATGGGTTATGCTGAGTAATCCGCATTCCATCACCCAGTCTTCCCTTTCGGCCAGGAGTACAAATGTGTGTGACAGTTGGCCAAGGTTGGGAGGCACCCTTTGGCCAGTGATGGTTTCCCTTTCTGTAGAGTTGACTGGCCAATACTGGC